ACTTTTTATAGGCATATTTCAATCCAACCACATATCTTCTTAATGACTTTCTCGAATTTAATGCGTGACTCTCCATTCTTCCACACAAGATTGGCTACATGGACATCGAGAAATGTAAATATTAATGAATCGTTTGTTTACGAGAAATAAGTAGTAGCATGTTTAAATGGATGATAAGTAGAATTACTTATCCTTATCATTGTGTCAAGATAAAATATGACTATCGAAATAGATGGATGGAGTATATGTTTATAGATAACTATTATATGAATTGGCTACTAAATGACTAGAAATAATTTGGAGCCAGTAGTTGGCTATATTATTAATCTTGCTCTTACTTCCTCCGGTTTTTATAATAAATTTAGTTTTAGCTCCTTCTATTTATCCTAAAATAAGTTTATTTTAGAGTAATCGTTGCATCGGAGTTTGTGAAAATATGAAATAATTGTATTAGGAGAAGATAAAGTGAGAAATAGTTGAATTGTGATTTGATAAGGGAATTCTTTTCTGTTTTTATAATGGTATGTGTGAGATGAGTGAAAAATAAATTTATATTGGGATAGAGGTAGTAGTAAATATACTTTGGAGAGATAAAACAATATTCTCTCCGTTCCATATTAATTATCATATAAGTTTTTTCACCAAGACAATGAGTACTTAGCTATCATACATTTGATTTAATGTGAGTATGTGGTGGGAAGAATCGAGAAGCATGCAAATTTTAAGTCCTCGTATGCACATGAAACGAGCGCTTAACTACTTCTAAATCCATGCATGCATTCACAGATGCAATAATGCTACACATCAAACGAATGGACAAGTGACATATGATGGTTAGTTTGGAATTTATGTTTGTTAGTTATATGATGATCAATATGAAATGAAAGGAGTATAACGTACTAGACAAGGATTCTACCAATTATAGATGATCTCTAGTTGTAAAATAATTTTAAGTGTACCTTTAGAACACGGGAGGAATATACAACATATTACTTCCGTTTCAAAATATAGTTACATTTTTTGACAGAGGTAGTAGGAAGATAAAAGAAAGGGTTAATTCCACTACAAATTCGCCGTATTAAAGAAAAACAATTATACTATTCGTCAAACCGGCTCAGTGCCATTGGTATTTCATAAAAATTCAAACCATGCCATTATGTACTTTGAGGTGTTCTTAGACTATTTTTTTCATATTGTTTTTTCACATGGACTAAGGTGCCCCTAGCCATTCTTCTTCCTCTCTCTTTGAATAGGCGCTCGCCATAATAATAATGTTAAATTTTTCAATAGAATGAATTTGTAATGGTAGGATCCAATTAATCCTAAAATAAACATATATAAAATTGTCGTGGCATGCCAAGATAGAAATGTTAGAAGAATTACATAATCAAGCTATATTGCTCCGTAGAAAAGGTGCTGAAATTTACGAGGAAAAGTTTAGATGGGAATTTTTTCAGAAGGTTCTAAATTCCCAAGAGTTCATCCACTTGTCCCCCAAAGAATCACACAAGGGAAAAAACAAATTCCCAATGTACCATGTTCTTCTGCTACTATTTTCATCTAAAAAAGACTTTGTTTTTTATAACGGTCTTTTTGAGACGGAGATAAATAAGAGAATTGGTTCATTTGCTATATGACTATCTAGGGAAGACCCAATTAATTAATTAAGCCGTGTGGGCCACAGGAGGGGGGGGGGGGTCCGTCTTCCTCCTCCCGTGAAGAACTGACCAACCTTTCTCCCTGGTTGGATTGCATTGCAATATTGCATCTCCATGATTGCTTTGGCAGGACGTACAGTAATAAGCTACGGAGTACTAGGGTACGAGTGATGGAGGGCCATGTGTCAACCAGACACGCCATGGCAGCAACCTACTGTACAGCACAGCTGATGGGCATCCCATGGCTTACCCACCGGCATAATCGCCATGACATCGATGCTCATGCTCATGCGTGTCTGTGTTCTCAAGTTTTAACTAACACACACACACACACACTGTGCTACCTGCGTGACGTTTTTACGATCGTCACGCGGACATTCATAGTCAGTTCATAACACGTGGGCGTATGTAAATGTAGTGGCGGATCTTGAAATCTTCTAAAGCCTGAAGGGTGTACATGCATATAAATTAAAGGTTTTCGATGTTATTGAACAATAGAAATATTAGCTATCCTAATGGTGTGATCTGTCGTCGATGAGTCCGAGCAACTGCCTGTTGTGCTTGCTGGGCCTCGGATCTATCCCTATGTAAATGGGTGTATTAGAAATGTTTCACGTAGGGTCATCGCTAGGAATTGGATCGGAGGCCCTAATACAAAAATGTATATAATGGCATCCTGAAATTTGACCATCAATCACGAACAAAAATAATAATGTATATAATGTATATAATGACTAATAGAACGGCAGAAGACTGACAGACGGTCACGATGAGATTGCATATCTAGTTCTAATCTACTTCCCCTTAGTTATAGTCTTCTGACCTGATGTGTCCTTTGGGTCCTCTATTTTTTTAACGACCCTGATAATTCGTACACCTTGCACATGTTTTTTTTACTCGGCCTTTATATCCAACCGGATATACGTGGCCTTTTTTTAAATTAGGAACTTAGCCCTTAAATAATTCAATCTGAAATTCGTTACTCAAGTCACTACAACCACTAGGCTACATGCTCTTTCACCGCACGATTTTCAGTATAGAAAGAAAATGTATTTTACGGATTAGTGTCCGTTTCAGAACTGAACCTATGCAATGCCAAAGTGCGTGATGACACTGCAGTTACCGAGCCTCCAGCTAAGTTGAGTTAACCCCACATCTCTGAACTAGTTGATCAAGATATGTTCCCCCTCAAACTCTTTACTACTCACTAGTGCACCACTGGTTCAATTCACATGAGAACAATCCAATAGAGCAAGTAACAAGGGGGTGCTTGGAATCAGTGACAGATCCAATACCCGACGACCTTTAGTGACCGCGCATCCTAGCTGGCTCATCAGCAATCACCCAATTCAATTTTGGGGTAATTTTACGTACTTAAGAAGTATCAGAAGATATCATATTTTATAGTATAAAACTTAGTACCTCTAGGTAGATCTTAAGTTACCAAAATTTTTAAAGGACCACAATTTTAGTGTTGTCATTGATCGTCACGTTCTTTTATAGGTAATAACTAGTTAGATTTGCCTTTTCTATATCTTTTTTGGCCCACCTCTGCTTGGAATATACTCCCTCCATCTACTTTTAATAGTTTTATTTTTAAATCTAAAAAATTTATTTTTGATAGGCATATTTCAATCCAACAAACTATCATCTTAATGACTTTCTTGGATTTAATGCGTGACTCTCCATTCTTTCACACAAGATTGGCTACATGAACATAGAGAAATGTAAATATTAATGAATCGTTTGTTTACGAGGAATGACTAGTAACATGTTTAAATAGATGATAAGTAAAATTACTTATTTTTGATCTGTGTGCCAAGATGAAATATGACTATCAAAAGTATATGGAGGGAGTACCATTGAATTGATCCTCGTTACATGGCAGAACTACATATTCACAATAAACAGTTAAATTCACATGAAGCTAGGTTGGAAAATAAAAAAAAAATTGTATCAATCTCTGCTGCAATCTTAGCTTATCCACAGGACCCAGAGAAAGGACCAGCAGCTTTCCCATACCTAACAAGATTGCCTCGTGCAAGGACAATATTTCTTACCTCACATTTAGAAGAGCTGCATATCACTCACTCACTCACTCAGCTCAGCTCAAGCTCAGACATGCATGTACACTAGTAACTAAACTAATCTCCTCTCACCTGCAGCAAAGGGAGGAGTCGTCAAGAGAGAGGGCATTGCTCATCGCTCATATGCACTAGCAAGGAACAAGAAAAACGCTCGGCGCCGGGCGTCGCGATGCCGACGGCGACGACGGCAATGGCGGTGCCGCCGCACTCCTCCATCTGCTCCCTCATTGCCTTCCTCCACCACCACATCCGCGCCCTCCTCGCCGACCGTGACGCGCTCCTCGCCGCGCGCGCCCGCTGCCTGGCCTTGCTCGACCCTCCCGGCGCCGGCGGCGCCGCGCACGACGACGGCGACGGCGACGTCCTCGCCGCGCTCCGCCACGCCGCGGACGCGCTCACCGCCGGCGCCGACGCGGGCGGGCTCGACGGCGCGGAGGCGGCGCTGCAGGGGCCGGCGCTGCTGCCGGAGGAGGGGGAGACGGGCGGGCTGGACAACCGGCGCGTCGCGGCGTGCGCCTACTTCTACCTCGCCCTGGTGCGCGCGGCGCAGGGGGACGCGTGGCAGATGGCCATGCACTTCCTCCAGGCCGTCGTCGTGTCCCCCGCCGCGGTGGCCGGCGCCGGCGCCGGCGGAGGCCTCGCGCCGCGCGCGCTCTGGGACGGGCTGTTCGACGGCGCCGTGCTGGCGCGCGCCGGCGGCGCCAGCGAGGACGACGCGGCGCGGCGGGCGGCGAGGCGGTACAAGGACTGGCTCATCTACTACAAGGTGGTCGCCGGCGCGCCGGCGAGCGGCGGCGGCGGCGGCGGGTGAGTTCATCGCAGACGAGGGAAATTTTTGATTTACCGCGGCAGTTATAACGGTAACTGGCATACGTATACCATTCGTGCGTACTGCGTGTACACCTAGCCGGTGTACGTACGTATTGTATATACATACGCTGACGGTACTGCATGCTGAAGAGGCTAAAAAGTGAAAAGGGGAAACTTTTTGTTGATAGTAGAGCTATGATGTGGCCAAGTAATGCTAGTACAATTTTTATTTTTCTTGGAAAAGATTTTTGGTATTGGGATTTGAATGCCTTTTTGTCAATTGTCCCTTTCAACTTTTCTCCCTTCTCCTTTCAATTGCTAATTTCTCTTTTTCCCTATTTCTTTTGCATTTTCCAATTTTTTTGGAAGATAAATGAGGGTTGCAAATCTTTTGGTGTTTAATTGTGATAGTATAAGTTGCATACCTCCATCACTCCATGGTGTTCCGGGATTGCAAGCCATTGGAACAAATCAACATTAAATTCTTGCAAAATACAAGATGAATACCTTGCAATTTGAGTGATTTTGATGTAGGACACCACCTTGTGATTTGTGAAAAGGATGCTCTGAGCTTCTCTCACATTCCCTTTGCCTTGAGCTTTCTTTCCCTGTAGAACCCACCGGAGCACATTTATGCAGGTCATGGGCACAAATCTGCACTTTCTACCATTTTTTCTCTGTGATGTGGCAAAAAGAGGGAGATCAGCACTCTTATCTTTTCCAAAAGGGATTCAAAAAAGGAACTGAAACACCTTTTTTGCCAAATGCAATCCCCAAATCCCTGACCAATTCTTGAAGCAAAGCTGGGGACAAAGATTCTCCACTAGCAGCTTGTGACAAGCATGCACACTAAACCATCCTGACCCACAGCTGCATGCCTGCAAAATTTAACACCACCTAGAGAGATCATCTTGAGTGCTACAGCTCTATATAGTTCAATAACCAGTAGATGAATTGATGAAAGCTTCAGTGCAGTTGATTCCCAAGTAGTGCTTTGCTAGTTGCTGCTACTATCTGTAGGTATAGAGAAAATAAAAAAGGGTACATTGTTCCATTGTCTGAGGATATATACATTCATCCATGAACAGGTGCATTCAGTTTGGAAGATCTGTGAGCTCTGTCATTCCGAAATGGCCGGAGTTTTCAGAGGTAAGTTGTTATGCTTTCTGTACAAGTGTTTATATGATGCAATCTACTATTACAGAGGAATTCAGACCTGCATTTGGGAGCTCAAGTGAATTTGTCATTTGCACAGGATGGGACAATCCACTCAATTGATCAAGAAGAAAAGTGCAGAGCCTTCGACTCCAACTGTGGCGATCATGATAGCTTCGCTGAGCTGAAGGATTTTCTCAACTGTGAGGATCCAGACCTTCAAGAAGATACCAAGGGGAGCTCTGACAGCAGGTGCCTACATGAAATGCTTGAGGAATACCAGTCAGATTCACCTGTTTCCTTCTACTCACACCTTGATTCTAGTGAAGAAAGTGACAACGAGGTAATACATGTTCAAATTCTAAAACTGTTGAAAATTTTGCAAATTGTCATAACACAATTTGGAAGTCCAAAAGTTTTAGTTGATCCAGGACTATGTAGGAAAATGATAATCATACCTCTTCTTTTATTTTCAGCAAATTTAACTGAAACCCTCACCTAAAGTTTGTAAATAGAGACTACTCAGACTATGCAGTTTGCAACAATAATGCATGGGGGATAAAGCATACCTTTAATATCAAAATTAATGTACGCTGGAAGAGCCTTTGAGTTTTTGACATTTAATTCATCTAACGTAGGAGGTTTCACATGACAAAGGGAGGTCAGCAAAGGTTATGCCTATTGATACAGTTTTCTTGTCAACTAAACTCCATGGAAGGTACTATATCCGACACCATCTGATCTACTGTTTCCCATATTGTCCTAACTTTTTTTTTTCTTCGGTATATTTGTTAGATCAATTCAGAATAAGAATCTGACATGGTGCACTTCTCCTGAAAATGCAATGATTTACACTCCTGAATCTCCACTCTACCAAGTTGATGACTGTGATATGAAACAAAACGACCTACAATCGAGCAGATCGCAGTGCTCAGCGAATAGTCTATCGAATTCAGTCCTAAATATAAATAAAGCAGACTCATACTCAACATCCAACTATTTCAACAAGGATGGCATGTTTCCACAATGCACGCCAAAGCATGATCTCAGATGCTTCAGCAACTTCTCAACCAAATTTATGAAGAGAAGTGCTCTATCTGACATAGTCTCCCGAGGAAGCATGAGCAGGAAATTCAAGGCTTTCTCACAGAGTGATGAGTGGAGCGATGTCAGCTCACGCTGGGGGAAGGAAAGCCAGGTAGACTTTCTTGAGAGGTTTGAGAAGGCGGTGTCGAAATTACTGGTTTCAGATGGGCTAGAGAGCTACCTGGATGCAGGTTCGGAAGTTACAACCATATGGCACTTGCTGAATAGTTCTTCTGAGGTGAGATACAAATCATCAGCACGGCAAGACATCCTCGACCAACTTCTTGACAGCATTTCGACATCTAAAAAGGATAAAGTGATCAGGGCATCAGTTTATGTTCTCCTGCTTATGCTATCTGAAGATAGGAATGCAATGAGAGGCATCAAGAGAAAGGAGTTCCATTTATCCAATCTAGCCAGTGCATTGAAGAGAGATGTGCATGAGGCAGCCATTTTGATATACTTGTTGGATCCTTCACCTTTACAGATCAAAAACTTAGAGTTGTTACCTTCACTTCTACATGTTGCTTGTAATTCAGACACCAAAAAGTGGCCTGCGGTGCTTCCATTGACCCCGACATCAGCATCAATAGCACTCATTGAGATCTTGGTGACAGCATTCGACTATGTAACAAACAACGTCCACTTGGGTGCCATCAGCTCTCCTCATATTCTATCTAAGCTTGTTGATGTTGCAAAGAATAACAACTTGGAAGAAGGTGTGGCCCTGGCAGCTATTCTCGTCAGGTGTGTACGGCTTAATGGAAACTGCAAGAAGTTCTTGTCACAGGCTACTCCAGTGGAACCGTTCCTTCACCTTGTAAGACGAAAAGAACACCGTGCCAAGTGTGCCGCTCTTGAATACTTCCATGAGATTCTTCAAATTCCTCGGTACATTCCATAACTTGAAAAGGTCCATTTTGTTAATTCCGAATAGCTTGTTGAATTGTGTGAACCTTCAGGTCTGCAGCGAACTCCCTGCTGCAAGAAATAAAGAAGCTAGGAGGCATTGCCATTATGCATACATTGATGGCCTGCCTCCATCAAACTGAACCTGAACACAGGGTTTTAGCAGCTAATCTTCTTCTCCAATTGGATATGCTGGTATGTCTACTGTCCCTGGTACTCCTCTGAAGAATTTTCATTTAGAGCCCTGCAAATACAACCAGATTGTCTGCAGCTCATTAGGACAACTTTAAATATCACCTCGAATAAAATGAAAGCACTGATTATTAACCATTCCTATGAATACATACTAGCAACAGTTCAACAAACACAGCATTGCAGTGATCTCACATTATCATTTTAGATAAAGGAATGATCTCACATTATCTAAAAAATGATCTGCTCCTGTAGGACAAACCAGATGGTAAAAGTGTATTCAGGGATGAAGCAATGGAAGTCCTGTTGGATTCCCTATCATCCCAAGAAAACTGCACCGTTCAGGCATTAGCAGCATCTTTCCTTTGTAATCTAGGAGGAACTTATTCCTGGTCAGGGGAATCATATACTGCTGCATGGCTCGCAAAGAAAGCAGGACTCACATCAACATCTCACAGAAATATGATCAGAAATATCGACTGGGTTGATCCTTGCCTGCAGGTGAAGTATGAAAACACTATCTAATTTGGACAAGATAATTATCTTAACCGTAGTTAACACTCCAGAGTAAAATATGATGCAGGACACAGAAATAGGTCCATGGAGCAGTAAATCTGCACGGACAATTATCAGAACAGGAGTACCAGTTCTCCGTGCTTTGGCCAAAGGAATACAAAGCAAGGCGAAGGGAACCTCGCATGATTGCCTTGTATGTGCTGCATGGCTTGGAAGCGAGCTGGCTGCTCTCGGTGAAAATAACATGAGATATTCTGCTTGCGAGATCTTGTTACATGACATAGCCAGACACTTGCACCCAGGGTTTGAGCTTGATGAAAGACTTCTAGCATGCATGTCTCTCTACACTTACACCTCTGGAAAAGGTAAAGAGATTCCATTACTGCCAAGTTATAGCCATCGAGTTCAGTGGTTTGGTCGAGAACTGACCAACTAAAACCATGAATATTTTAGAATGTCAAGACCAATTTTACAAACGTGTCACAAAAGGATAATCAAAGAAATATATAATTCTTTTTACAAAAATGTTTTTTGGTACCTGCAGGGAAGCAGAAGTTGATGGGCTTGTCAGAGGGTTCACGAGAATCTCTAAGGAGGCTGTCATCATTCACATGGATGGCTGAAGAGTTGCTTCAAGTTACAGATTATTATCTTCCCAGCAAGCCAGTGAGTATTGTTCAAATCTAACTCCTTTCCACTTTTCTTTTCTCTTCCTTTCTGAACCACAAATAATGTGAAATCTTGGCCATTCATGTTCTCCCTTAAACACAATGAACATCTTCTAAACTTAGTTAAGTAATAGAAAAAAGAAATACAAAAGTATACCAGTTCATTTAAGATTATAATTATCACTTGCACAGGGTCCTTACTTTTGGAACATCATTTTACACGAAATCTAATTATCTGAAGTTGTCAGTGCAGCGTGTATCATGTGTTCATACACAGATATTGGAAATCGGTCAACCTGGCAATGGAGCAGCAACCGCTATAATATTCTTCGGAGGGCAGCTCTTTGTTGGTTATTCTAGTGGCACCATCAGGGTAATGATACATGGCATGTGTATGTGCATTAGAGTTTCTAATCAGTAATCACTCGTAAATCCACAACATAAGCACACATATTTTAACATAGCAATAGTTGGTTGGGCAGCAAAATGCAAAAAAAAGGGGTATTTCTTCAGTTCATGAAAGATGTACTTGCATAATTACAATTCCTGATTCTCAAGTGATCCTCTACAGGCATGGGATATAAAAGGCCAAAGAGCAGTAGTCATAAGAGAGGTTAAAGAGCACAAGAGAGCAGTTACATGTTTTGCACTATCAGACACTGGAGAAAATCTCTTGAGCGGGTCAGCTGACAAGTCAATTAGAGTAAGAAACGGGCGGACCAGTTTTCAACCACAAAGAAGTAACTGTAATAAGTTAATAGCTAATGATAGGCTCTTTGCAGGTATGGAAAATGGCGCAACGCAAGCTCGAATGTGTAGAGGTAATTCAAATAAGAGAAGCTGTGGAGCAATTTGAAATTTACAATGACAAAATCATTGTGCTTACACCGAACAACGTTCTTAAGGTATGCAATTTGCTTTAAATGTTCTTGGTGATTGCCAACATTTGAAATGTATAAAATAACATTTATAATAGAATTCATGTTACCTCGGCAGTTCTCTTACTCATCAAGAAGCACCCAGACATTTTACAAGAGCAAGCATGTCAAATCTCTAGCTGTGGCTCATGGCAAAGCTTATCTTGGTTGCACAGACTTGAGTATACAGGTTAGTACTGTTGGTATGATAGCAGTAGTAGCACCATATCTAGGAACATGCTACTGTATCTGAAACAAAAAAAAATCCACAGGAATTAGACGTAGCAGTGGGGTCAAAAATCGAGATAAGAGCACCTACAAGAAGCTGGCGAATTAGGAAACAACCCATTAGTTCCATTGTAGTATATAAAGATTGGATGTACTGTGCTGGTACTCAAGTGGAAGGATCCACCATAAAGGTAAGGATCAAACTTGAACCTGTGAAAAAAATCAGATTACAAGGATTTGAGAAAAAAAAGTTATAAATATCGGTAAAACAGGACTGGAAGAAGCGATGCAAACCTACAATGACGATGGCGATATCAAAGGGAACAAATGTAGAGGCAATGGCAGTGGTGGAGGACTTCATCTACCTGAACTGCGACAAAAGCCCTAGTATCATTCAGGTCATCTAAATTTATTTTGAAATTTTGGTTGTCCCTATTAAAGGCACCACCTTTGCCTTGAGGTTACATAGTTGGAAAATTACAGAAGCCAGCCAACCTGACAATGCTTCTGCTTCTGTATTTTTGACAGATATGGTTGAGAGAGAATCAGCAGAAAGTAGGGAGGCTATCTGCAGGGAACAAGATCACGAGCATGTTCACCGCAAATGACATTATTTTCTGCGGGACTGAAACCGGATTAATCAAGGTCAGAACCACGCCATCAATCTTGGCCACAGCCATTTATTTGTATCCACCACCATTAGCACCATAATTAAAATCTCCTTGTTGCAAATATGTACAGGCATGGATCCCTTTCTGAAGGGACATACAGGAGCAAAGACCAAAAAAAGGCTCAATTATGTAAATGGTTAAATGCAACAACATGAGAGTATGTATGTACAGAAGAGAAAAAAATAGCAGGTAAAAAGAAAAAGAAAGGCATACCATTGTACAAGGTGATCGATCCCTCTGGAGGACAAACCAGCGTGCATAAACTCCGTGATCACCGATTTCTACAGAGCAATGAGTAGCATTAGTAGCAGCAGCAGAGGCTTCACAATGTAAATATAGATATAGATTTTGTGTGTGTTTTTTTCCTTTTTCTACTTGGATTTTGGAAAAGATAGCGATTGTGTATGCTAATACTACCTGATACTGCCTCCTTCATAGCAACTGCCCATCTGCCACGAACTCGCACATTCGCATCGATCCCATCCTGTGATTAAAACCAGGCGTCTATAGCCGTCATAAAGAGGAACAAAAAAAAGGCCATTGCGGCGTTTGGTCGAACACCTTGTGGGCGAGCGCGCGCGCTTGAGGACGCACCACTCACTCTTACATCGCGCGCATCCGCACAATAGCCAAGAACACAACCATGCCCATGCCTTGGGTGGTGCCAAGCGACCGGGATGCAGAACTGGAGGGAAGCTTCGAGAAGCTGCTAGAAACTAACCTCGAGGAAGAAGTCGATCGAAAAATGCAAAGATTTTGGGGAAGAGAGAGTGGGAGACGAGTAATAAGATAATTAATGGGCTTAATGGCCGTGACCCACGTGGAGTTTATCAATCGAAAGGTTATGGGCCGATCGGTCCAATGGACCGCAACAAATGAGCTCCATGAGCGGGCCGCGAACTCATGGGAATAGCAGAGCAATGTGTGCGTGATCAGCAGAGGCAGGCCTAGGATTTTGATGTGGGAATTCAAAATTTACACTGTACAAAAAAAATTACGAACATAAGAGAATAATCAGCAAAAACAAAACAGAGCAATGAGAATCAAATCTAGCACCTATTGAATGGGTGAATCATCTATTAGCCAACCAATTAACGAGAGGTTTATGCCTGGATGGATAGCTATTTGCTAAAAATATGGGTATTCCAGCTTGAGCCCCCTGGTCGATCTGGTCCGCCCTTACCAAGCAGGCGCTAGCTAAGTACTCCCTCCAAGCTAAAATATAAATATTTTCAGCATAATATCAAGTCAAATATTTTAACTTTTACTTTTACTATTAATAACTAAACGGAAAAAAAGATTAATCATGTAAAATTAATATTCCTAGATTTATCACCAAACAAATTGTCATAGTATACAACTCTTTTTATTTAAAACATCTTGTTTTTATAAATATTGTTAGTCAAAATAGTATTTTCAAGACCGTATCGTAGTCTAAAAATACTTATATTTTAGAACGGATGGAGTATGAATTGGAGTAGATACGTTGTTACTAAGGACAGTAGCAGTGCGGAACACATATTTGTTGGACCTCAATTGCCACCTAGATCCAAGATTATGGAAGGACATAACCGACACAGAGTTGTGTGTGCCCCAACACCGCCAGCATGAAGGCACAACGTGACGAGGCTCTGAGCTCCATAAGAGCATCTCCAATGGTCTCTCTAAATTCAACTCTCCAAATATCTATTTGGCCAACTCTCCATTTCATTTGTCAAATTAAATTCGTTGTTTACTCCAACAATCTCTCCATCCATCCTCTCTATTTTGAGTGTATGACAGCGGGACCCATGCGTCAGCCTCTATACCTATTCTTTCTCCTCTTCCTCTTCTCTTAGCATTCCCCAAGGCTAGGGCGATTGAGCAAAGGGCGGTCACGACTGGAGACGGTAGCGCACGGCGGTGGCAGTCGCGGCTGGGGACGGCGGCAGCCACGGCTGGAGATGGCGCGGAGGACGGCGGCGGTCGTGGCTGGCTCCGGCTCCCTCTCCTCCTTGCCTTTGTCGCTGTTCACGAGCGGCGCCGTAGCGGCCTTCTTGCTCGCGGGGGGAGATCTCAACCGGGGGAGAGAGATGGGGTGGGATGGGGAGTGGTGGGACCCACGAATAGCCAGGCAGAGAGACTCTCCAAGTTTGGCTAGTGAGGGGTGGGATTTGGCCATCCAGATGGCTTGGCTAACTAGATGAAGAGGCTGTTTGAGGGCATTTTTTTCTCTATACTTGCTAAAATTTAGCTTGGCCAGCCATTTGGCCATTCTATTAGAGTTGCTCTAAAGCATCCGTGCCCCGCTCAACCTCAATAAGCCCGTAGAACGAGTGTCGTCTCATTTGCCATGCGCATTTTTCACTTAGGTAACAGAACCGCCAGACGTGGCGTGAAGACATATATGTGCACTATGAATACCGAATTAAGATCCAATAAAGTCCTAACTACGACTGCAAGTTAAGGACTACGTACAATATTCTCAACCATTCGTATTGCAGTTCACACTAAGATCTTTTTTACAAAGGTTAAGATTTATCTGACTTGTAGTTTATTTTTATAGATTTTATACCTATATATAATATAAAAATCAAAGCCGGAGCTTTTTTTTTTAAGAAAACTGGAGCAGCTACGAGCTCTCCATAACAGAACATACTGTAATAATTGCACCGGAACCGAATCCATGAAAGCCCTATTGCCGCTGTTGCAGGCTTGCAGCGTTGCTGCGCCATGTGGTGCTACGTACCGCTACCGCGCTGCCCATCAATCAATCATCATGGAGCACACGACGAGTACGACGACGCCCGGCGACCGCGCGCGTACATGCACGAACGTGTCCGCGCTCTACCGATCGATCGGCTGCATGCGTGGCACATTGCACATGGCGCAGCTCGATCGTCGTCGACGTTGTTGTTGTTGTTGTTGTTGCGTCCATCGAAAAAAGTATGGGAGAGATGAGCCAAGCCGCCAGCGGATGGAATCAACAAAAGACGAGACGTGTGTGTTCCTCATGGCACAAGCATGAAGCATGGTTTGCTCATGGCGATCGAATGGGAGGAGCTTAATTATCATCTCTCGTCTTCAAGTTGGTGGGTGTGATCTGTTTTCTCTTCCCACACGACCTCCATTTTCTCTCCTCTTTCCGCATTTTTCTTTCCTCACACGACCTCCGTGCTTTTCTGCTCTGCACTTGAGCAAGTGGCACGGCAGCACCCACCATCCCCAGAATTCCTGGTTTTCTTACTCCCTCCGTTTTTTAAAAGTATATAACACCATTCTTTTAATATATATTTAGCCATTCGTCTTATTTAAAAAATATATTTTATTATCATTTATTTATTATGTTTTGATTTATTATCAATTGTTATTTACGTATGACTTAATCCATTTTATATTTGCATAATAATTTTAAATAAAACAAGTGGTCAAACACCAATAAATAGTCAACGGTATCATATATTAAAAAAAGGATGTAGTATTATTTACCAGAATTTTTTGGTGGATTATTTGCTTGACTCTTTCGAA